CCCCAAAACCCCAAAACCCCAAAACCCCAAAACCCCAAAATTTCCGGAAAATATTGAAGGATCTTTCTAGTACATGTCACGATATTTCTTCAGCATTTTCTTTTGGAAGTACCTATCTGGAATCAAGTAGACAAGATGATACTGCAGAGCATGCTTCCAATGCCCATTTGTCCACTCGTCATAGCCGAGTTTCTCTAATGCTGCTTTAGCGTGCTCTTCTGTGGAAATTGTAAAGCCTCCTATTTTCTGATGATCAGTCATGGGAGTGCTCACCCATAATGGCCTGACACTCACTATAATTTTAGTACGAGTTCTTACTGATATCAAGGTCATCAAACTCAGTGTTTGAAGCTCTTGAGAGGAAGTCATTGAAGCCTTTCGTGCCAGAATAAGTTGAGCATACTGAAACTGGTTTTCCTCCGGAAAAACTGGACAAATTTATGATTGCTGATTTTTGGCCTCTTTTCAACATCCTCTTGATCATTTCTTGAGTGAGGAGAGTTTGTGGGTAAGTATTGGTGGTGATAACATTCTTGATATCTTCTGGGTCAGCCTCAGGAAGGGATTTCATATTGTTCATTCCAACATTATTAACCAAAATAGACACATCAAGATCCTGAGTATGTGCAAAAATATCGTCAAAATGATTGGGTTGGTATGATTTTGAGAAATCTTTGGTTAAAAATTTAGCTTCAACTCCATACTCATCAGTTATCTCTTTGCACAGGTTTTCAAGTTTAGACTGATTTCGAGCAATCAAGAACACATTAAAGCCTTTTTGTGCTAGCTGTTGAGTGTACCCACGGCCAATACCGTCAGAGCCACCTGTGATCACCGCCCAAGTATTATTTCCCATACCTCTGAGTGAGGTCGTAAGGCTTCCTAATGAAATGGTTATAAACCCCTCTGAATGGCTTGTATATTCAGTTATAGCCCAAGAAAATAGCCCCTGTTGTTGAGAGAAATGTAGTAGATTTCAGCATTTTTAGTCTAAATTTGATAATTTATCATATTTTCTGTGCATTTTGAAATTGGGGTTTTGGGGTTTTGGGGTTTTGGGGTTTTGGGG